TACCTGGCCATTTTATCAACTATCTTCCAAACTCTGGTACATGGTGTAATTACACCTTGTCTTCCATGAATGATATCACAAATCAAATTTCTTTCACAAGAGACTCATTCAGGCTGATCATTTCAACTTGTACCATCATGCTCGAACCATCTATATCCACTTCAGAGACAGGAAAGTAAGCTTGATTACTACAGAATGGTAGTAGTACGAGCATAGTCAGGAATCATAATGTGGGTAGACTGACAAAGAGAGAACCAGATGTACATAACCCATCCCAGACAAGTAGGTTCTGAAGTGCTATTTTGGCCAAAAATAGGCAGCTAGAGTATAAGAATACGAGTGAAATTACGGGCCCAAACACTCATTGCACCTGGTTGATGGCACAGCAACATGTAGCTCCACACATGCTTACACACCTGGCAAAAGCAAAAACACCCATCCAACAATTGTACTTGGTTATTCATTCAGATTTGCAAAATAACTGCACAAAATCCAACTTCACGCATCAAACCCCCTTTTAGTAATTAGTTATTTCACTGTAGTGAAATGATTGAGTTGGTTCTGTTTGTACAGAGTTTAGTCTGTGATTGAATCCAAATTTACACCCTTCGTACTTGCAGACTAAACCCTTGCAGACTTCAATTGTACGCGCCGTGACATGTTCACTGTCATCACGTCAAGTCTGTGAGGATGCTGGGCCATGGGGGAAGGAAATGAGCTGAAACAGGATTCCAGCTCTTAGTCGTTTTCAGGAAGAGTAATTGAAATTCCTGACCCTGTAACCATTACAAAGTGTTTTTTTGAGTGGTTCTAAAAAGCATATTTGTTGACATGAATTTATGCTGCTTTACATACAGAAATACAGTTTTCTATTTTATACAAGATTCCACTACATTGACATCAAACCCTGAACCAAACATTGCCAGGTTCCACGGATGAGTTGTGGATTTGGACAGCCCTGGGCACTTGCAGACTTCCTAGGAATGTGTCCACTAGGTCGGCAATCCAGAAAGTCCGGACATTTGGATTCAGCCTGTGTTGTCATCATTGATACCCTACTTTTATCCGAGACACCGCTGAGAAGAGTGAGAAGCACTGTAAAGTTTGAAATGTGGGGTGACAAAGGCCTGCGTGACACAATCAATCTCGAGGCAAACGTCCAGCACTTCAACAAGTGATGGATATTCCTCTTAAAGAGCTGTATACACACTGTATAAGCGGTGTTCTCCACTGTTTGCTGGCTGATTAGCAGACACATTTGTTTACTTGTTGGCCGATGCCACATAAAATGGAGCAGGTCTATGATATGTATTGAATTTAAACTCTATTCATTTTTGAACCCCATTAAATGCAGCGGCTAGCTTTCATTCCTCTGTCCACCGACTCCTTACAATTATCACAAAATGGAGCAGATGCCACTGAATAATAGACCTATCATCAAGTGGTAAATAAGCACTAAACTGTTTTCTTTTAAAGACTGGATAAGTGAGTCTGGAGAAATCCTATACAGTGACAAATACCATGGTGTACAGTGAACAAAAACTTCAAGTGACGCAAGTAATGTTAGCTATGTTGTAGTTTAGCAAACTGTTGCTGAAGTTGTAGTTGTGGACGGGAGGATGGGATGGTTTTCACACTATTTTAATAGCCAATGGATAGTTTTAGTCAATTTTCAAGCAATAGTAGAGAAAAAGATGATAAACATGATCTAGTTCCAGTGTCGGTCTTTTGTTATATATTGTTTGATAATTCAATTAGATGAAAAAAACTGACCCATGTGGTATCACCTGAGGTTTTCTGCATCTTAGTAGCTGATGAATGTACTGAGATCGGTTCCTCTCGTCATGTCTCCTCTCTGTTCGCCGCTCATTTGCTCAAAGTATCCTCTTGAGGGTAAATGACCTGCATGCATTTAACCCATCTCCTCCTAGACATTAGAGTCTTCCTCACTCCCACTCATATATAGATCACGTATTCATATTGGATCTTGGTTTTGCTCTTTACTGTACGAGATCTACGCTTTATATTCTATCAGGCTCCTGCTAACTCCCACTTAGTCATTTAGTCGTCCTTTGCTGTCTGGCAGTGTTTCATTTCCATGTTTCCCGTTTTGCACCGTTTCTTTGTGTAGCCCTCACAAGACTGGCTCTGTCCTCCACCCCCGCCTCTCCATCTGTGCCACGCATTTATGTTGTTTCACTGCAGTTACTGAAGCGCACATTCTGATTGCTACCAGGTGAGGCAAACTAGCTGCGCTCTCACATGCATTCACGACATGCCTCGGGGCATGCACACACACACACGCACACACACACACATATCCACTGTGGGGTTCTGTGGAGCAGTGGTGCATATAGATGGCATTTGCTTGTTGACAACATTGTCACTGGGCAGCAGTGTGTTTTGCTGCTTGTTGTCTTTGTCTTTCTGGGCATCAGACCTGCTATTTCCAGGTGTTAAGTGGCATATTTTCTACTGAGTAATATTTGACCCCAGCGTGGTAGACATGTTGAAACTGCTACACAGGGGATTACTGTCTGACATCTACCCCACCTGTCTTTGGCCTTGAGCAGAACAAGTTTTTAGAAAGAATCCGTGTGTGTGTGTGTGTGTGTGTGTGTGTGTGTGTTTGGTGGTGTGTGTGTGTTGTGTGTGTTGTGTCTGTGTTGTGTGTGTCGTTGTGTGTGTGTTCGTGTGTGTGTCTTGTGTCTGTTGTGTGTGGGTGTGTGTGTGTGTGTGTGTGTCTGTGTCTGTGTCTTCGTGCTTGCATCTGTTTCTTTGCCGTTATTTTCTTTCTCCCATACTGTCTCTGCTCCATCTGGCCTAGTTGCTCCCAGCTGTTTGACCATGGTCAGTGCATGAGCTTTGGTCTCCTGTGTGGCCCTGGGGCGGGAGGCCTGGATGTCTGGGTATAGGCGGGGGATGCCTGAGATCACTTCTGCAGGACCCAGCAGCTACAGAGTCAGGAAGCTGTAATTAGGACTAGAGGAGGCTTAACACTCAGGAGCTTTTTTTCTCCTTCCTTACCCTGCCACTCTCTCTCTTGAGAAATGCTCCCACATTAAGAGACCAAAGCTCATAATTACGTGTGGTTGAGAGGATTGTAGTCCTCTGATGTGCGGCAATTTAATGCTTCATTTATTTACCTTCATTGCTGTGTATTTCACTCTGTAAGCCATCAGTGAACCTAATGTGTTGTACACCAGAGTATTTGACTAAGTAAGGCTGATAATGAGAATGTTATTTTTAATGTTTTTTTTTTTGTACAGCAAGGAAATAAGCAAAAACTATCATGTTCATGCACATGGGAAATATTGACGGGTCCAGGTTTTGAAGTAGTGTCTTAATCATGTTGCTTCAGTGGTTGTTACAATGATGACAGGAAATGGGAAGCCAAACATATTTAAAAAGAATAGATAGATAATTCAATCTGTTTAAAACACAGAACACAGCGATTTATGGTGGAGATGCTCCACCTCACCTAAAGTAAAGAGCTTCTCTGGTTGAAAGGATATGTTAATTAATCTATTAGTTTATCAACAGAAAAATAATCTTATAATTTGATATTAGATCAAGAATCACTGTTCTCAAAATGTGAGAGGATTTGCTGCTTTTTCTGTTTTGTTTTATTGTAGGTTTTATATGTTTGTGTTTTGGATTATTGGTTTAACGAACACAGTTATTCAACTTGGCCACTGGGGAATTGTTGGGGGCTGTAGTCTATGCTAATGTCAAAAGGAATTGTTACATTTTTATGACATGTAAAATTGGGCTTGTTGAGCCTCAGGAAAAACTAGCAGCAGCACAACATCCCACAGCAAAGACCATCATTAAATACATGATTTTATGAGTGAGGTCTGTTAAGGGCTTCAACTAATTCTGAATTTCATTATCAATTAATCTCCATTATTATGGATTATATTTTCAATAAATCAGTTAATCCTTTGTTCCGTAAAATGTCAGCTTGTCGCAGTTCCTAAAGCCCTTCTTGTTCTGTCTGAGCCACCATCCAAAACCTAAAGATTTTTTGTTTATTATCACTACGACAAAGAAAAGCAACAGATCACAAATTAGAAGCTGGATCAATCAATGATTAATTGGTAATCAAAATGTTTGGCTATCATTTTTCAGATTCATTGGTAACACTTTATTTAAACGCCCCCTTTTTAGCATTTCAAAGAAGTATATAAACATTGAATATAAGTGCTTGTAACAACACAGATGTGATCTGATGATGATAATAATAATAATAATAATGAATAATATATAATAATATAATATAATAATAATAATATAATAATAATAATAATAATAATACACAATACTGTATATTAATAGACACAATGTCTAGCTGTTTCTACACACATAATAGAGTATTGAGTAATCATTTTGTGTATATAGTGCTTATAAGTGCTAAATGAAAGGAAGGTGTTACTTCCTGAGACACTCATTGTCTCAGCTCTACGTCTGACTTTTTACACACTGTGAAAGTACAAACTGCCCAATCAGTCACAATCAGCTGCTGATGTGTGAGAAAAAAACTCGGCAGGTTTGCCTGAAGTTAGTTTGACAATCACCAATAGAGTCTGCATGAAGTTAAAGTTAGGTAAGGCTTAGTATTGGCCTCAAACTAACCTAATTTCCTTAGATTTCCTTGTTTTATTTATTTGGGGTTTGTTTAAATGATTCATATTTTGTGGGATCTTTGTTGTCTGAGAAGACATTTCAATCCAGCTGATGCAGAGCCGTCTTTAGTTCTTGTTGTGACTTAAGTGCCAGACATTTTATGAGTAAAGCTGTAAATTTGATTCCAGTTAATAAATGGTCCTAGCCTTTAAAAAATGTCTTCTTTTTTGTTATGAATGGAGAGCAGCCAAGTTCTGCTCTGCAGGAGGTGTTTTCCTGCGGTGTGTCTGTGGTGAGCAGTGTTTTCATGCACACACTACCTCATGTATGCATGTGTACTCTTGACTCCTCTAATTTGTACCACTCCTCTTCTCAGGGTCCTGTTATATCCTTGAGGACACACAGACATGAAGAAATAGAAGCATCAGTTGAGGTGAGTGTCTCAAACCTCCCCTTTACTGCTCCACATGTTTCCATTTTTCCCCTGAGCAGTTTCATTCAGAGCGCTCTTCTTTTTACAGGCCCTCCAGCTGACCTCCGGGCTAAGTCCTGGCCGTGGGGCTTTGTTGTTGGTGGGCCAGCTGAACAGGCTTGTATGTGAGTGAGAGGTAATGAAGTCCAGTATGAGGCAGTGGCGGAGGCTGGTGCTGGCGGGAATGCTGGCCTGGGTTCTCCTCTTCCTCGCCCTCCTCTCTTACTTCCTGGATGCTCGTGTGAATGAGCCCCTGACCTCAGCTGGCTCTTTACTCTCCCAGCACCCTGACACCCGTCGCCTGGCCTCTATACAGGCCTCCCATCAACAGCCTGCCAACCTGGGCTCCCGACCTGAACTGGCTTCCACCTTAACTACAAACTACCCCAGAGATGAGTCAGAACCAGAGCCCTCTGCCAGCTCCACAACCCCAGAGTTCAGCCTGGAGGTGAGCCACAGCCCGAACAGTGCTCCCTACTCTATTTATGGTGGCCAGGAGGCCAGCCATCAGGACTACCTGGACCCACAGAGCCTGGCGGCCTGGTCCTCCTTTGGTACAGAAAATGTGGGTTCTCACTCAGACCCTGCAGTCCAGAGTCGTGAGAGAACTTCCCAGACCACAGAGTACCAGAACCATGGCAGCAACACGCGCTACCACGGTGGGGAGGAGGAAGAAGAAGAAGAAGAAGATGATGAGAGGGAAAATGAAGATGAAGAACTAGGAAACAGGAGGAGGACTACAACAGGCAGGAGGGCCGGCGGTGACTCCTCTGATCTAGAGGAATATTACTTTTCCAAGTCGGCCTCTGTGGTCCAGCGGCTGTGGCGGGGCCGCGTGTCCGCCGGCATGCTGAGTCCTCGGCTGCAGCGTGCCATGAAAGACTACGTCAGTGCCAACAAACACTCTGTTTCCTACAAGGGGCATCGCAGGGCCGCCCAGAGTGCTAAAGAGATGCTGTGTCAAATGAAAGCCCAGGCCCGGCTGAGGACAGTGGACGGGTCAGAGCAGCCATTCTCCTCACTTGGTTGGGCTCGCCTCGTGCCGTCTCTTCCCCTGGAGCAACTGCACGGATGGCAGGACCAGAGCAGCTTCAAGACCTGTGCAGTGGTCACTTCGGCCGGTGCCATCCTGCGCTCAGGACTGGGCAAAGAGATCGGTGAGTAGAGGGAGAAAAGATTTTGAGCAAGGGCAAAGAGGGGCCACAGGGGTGTGCGCCAATCCTTAATACCATCTTTTTTTTTTATCGACTGATGGTATTTTTTTAATCGGACCATATCTAATTTAAATATGTTTGGGGCAAAGTCCTGCTTATGTTTAGACAACATTTCATTTTCCTTGATGAAAAGATATACCCAGCTCTACAGTTGACAGAATAAAAGATGAGGGATGATGCACTGCAGCCGAAGTATAAGCTGAAAGATCTGAATTTTAAAAATGCTGTGTGTGCTCAGGACACTGCCAAACAAAAAGTCCACTATACTTTACCTAGAGGCTGCAATAATAATTACACCCCACAATCTGGAAGGGTTGGACAGAACAACCAACATACTGGTTAATTCTCTAAGTTTTTGTTGAGTCTGTCCAATTGTGGGACTTACAATATCAGTGTTCCTGTCATGAATATAAGTATATTTCCATTCACCTGTTTTTATGTGCATGCACATTAAAAACCTGTGTGGAAGTGACGGGGGGGAAAAAAGAAACTGAAATATTGCTTAGTTGAGATGAATTGGTAACACACAGACTTAGTGAATCAATCATGACATACGAACATGATGCTCATGTGAATTAAACTTCCTCTTAAGCTTTCGCTCCACTGGAGTGAGGGGAAATAGTGGCTGATGAATAACCTGTCACATTCCTCAAATTAGCCACATGATGCATAAATGCCAGATTTCAATCATGTTTTCCTTTTTAATTATATCCTCTTATTGCACCCTCTTCTCCTGCAATGGTTTAATGGCTCCCGAATGGAGAATTAGCACCATCGACTGTTGTCTTGATAAGCTCCTGATATTCACATAATGGTAGGTGATGGAAATGCGCATATTTTTCATTTTCTTTTGCTAATTTTAGATTGAAACTTGACTATTGTCACTATAGTAAACACCATGTGACCATTTTAAATTAAAAAGGTTTTTCTCCTCTAAAGCATTTATTAGCAAATTTTATGACAATCTCTCTTGTAGATTATATTCAAAGTTGACTCATGGACCTGAGGGTGGAGGAAATGAAAAGAGCCCAAAGAGCATGAATTTATTCCATAACTTTAATAGCACGAGATTTTTTGTGTACAAGTAGAAATTTCAGCCCGTTGATGGAACTGTGGTCATAAACTGATTACGTTTGGAGCTCTTGAGGCCAGTAAAATACACGGTACATTTAATGGAAATTCGTTTTTGAGCTACTTTGTCACGGACAAAACTCTCATCATGTTTTCTTCTCTAAAAAAAAATTTCAAAGTGAATTGCCAACAGAGAAATGGTAGTATCATATATTGTCAAACAGTGATCTTTATTTGAGACGGGCAATTACTAAAGACAAAAGCCTTAAATAGCTCAGTTTGATGTTAATTGCTGTTGGTGCTGGACACTTAAATGACTTGTGTGTAAGAGTCAGTGGCATCTAGCAGTGAAGTTGTAGATTGAATACATCTCAACTTTCCAACGAGAACTATGGTGCCCTCGAAAAATGTAAAAGGCCCTATTTAGAGCCAGTGTTTGGTTTGTTCCCTCTAGACTACTGTAGAAACATCAGAACGTCACATAGAAGGCCTTGCTATTGGATTGGATATCTTCTGTTGCCTTTTTAACTTGTAGATTTGGTGGGCAGAGTGATACGAGGTTGTGGATATAGAGATTTGCAAAGGTTTGGCCGAATGCACATTTCACATCATGGAATTGTTACAAAGCAGAGTTACAGCATAGTAGAGCTGCAGCTGAATAGTACAGGTATAACAAGATTACTAAGATCTATATTAAGACATTTACTGTAGCATGTCAACAACTCCAGTTTAAGGTAAGTGATTGGGGTAGTAGTATACCATCTGAGTGACTGAACTAAGCTTGATCTCTTATGCTTTGAGCACAGTGGCATGCTACGATGTTGAATTTTGAAGGTCAATATATCTGTTTGCATCTACAAGGACTTGAAGGATCTCCAATTTTTGCATGGCATTTGCAGATTAACTTGTCAAGCTGACTGTGAGCAGGGTTGAGTGTGTGCCTAGTAGGCTATATGTCTTTGTGTTTGAATGTGTGTCCTCTTGGTTTAGAGACTTTGGCAGCTCTGTGGTTAGTGGGGAGAGTGTGAAGTCAGTGACAGATGGCTCACTAGAAAAAAGCAAGACCCCCTCTGGTAACCAATCAGGCTCCTTTGCATCACATATAGCTTCCTTGCATTTCCATGTGAATTCAGCTGTTCAGACCAAGCAAAATCTTTAATATGAAGAGCTTCAGCTTTATTATATTTCTATAATGTCCCTATATACTGACAGTGTTCCATAGACGCTAGTTGTCCCAGAAAACCGACACCCAGAAAGAGAAGCATGCCAAACAAAAACTGATGCGTGCAGGTGATTTAAATCTACAGCTGCACTTTATCCTGTGGGACACAGTGGGATTAACGTGTGTCTGTGAACACACCAGTTACAACACTGACGCCTCCACTTGCTACAAATAAATCTAACCAAAATAAGAAGACATTTACCAGATTTATAAAGCTGTAGGGTGTAAACAGGTTTACTGTGAAGTTTCAGAATGACAGACGTTGGATGTGGTTAAGTTCAGTGAGTGTGTCTTAGTGTGTTACTTCCTGATGACTGTTTTTGGTATATCTGGTTAGTAAGAAGAACATTTGACTGACTGTCTATTCTTCCTTTTAAGAGGCACTGAAAAGGGAAGCAGACTTCAGTTTTGGGCACCAGGCCTTGGACTTAAACTCGGCAGGTGCTTCTAAATCTCTGTTGATGTATCATCATCCCCCATGTTTGCTTTTGGGTTCTGGCCAATAATGTGACCCATATGCACATGCTCATAAACAAAGGAAGTATACGTGTCTTTTCGGCCCCACACTTGTCTTTGCTTTCCCTGTTTTGAATATACCTTGTTAAAAAGCGATTCCAAGCCCCACATATGCCATCAGAGCGTCATTATGGGAGTGCAGAAAAGTTGTCAAATAAGAAATTGCAATTCATGACCATTTGAGGCTAATCACATACATATTTATGTGAAGCAGCAGCAGGGTATTGGTTAAGTGTGTCATCATCATGGTAATCTGTTCTTAAATAAGAGATTTTGCTTGACAGGGGTCTTGGTGACTTGACAAATAAGATAACGTTTATAGAGCTTATCATATTAATTATGGAACAGACTCATAGTGTTGTAAAAGCTTGACTTTGTTACATTAATTCTCAGGCTCAGTTTCAACAGGAAATCAAACCAAATTGATCCCGCTCCGTCTACTTCTTCTCACCCTGCTGTCCTTCCCAAAAGGCTGCACTGCATCAAAACCCTCATTATGCAGCTGTGAACTGTGACAAATCATTGAAAGATGAATGTGAAAATGGTTCTCTTTTCTGTGCTGCTTGCAGGTCGGCTGACATTTAGATTATCTGGTTTCTCAGCAGTTCTTCCTGTGAGAGCTTAGTAACTGAGATTTTGGTTTAGTTTAGTGTGTGTGTGGTGTGTGGTGTGTGGTGTGTGTGGTGTGTGGTGTGTGGTGTGGCTGCCATCATGTGGTGGACAGGATGAACTGCACCCCCAGTACAACAGTGGATGGAGAAAATAACTGCAACACATTCCAGCATTATTCAGCTAAATGCCCTGCAACAAATGCTGTCTTTGTAAAGTTTATTGTATTGATTGTTTTTTGACATGTAGAAGCTTTCACTCAACTCTATGGTCGTTTGAGATGATAGTTTGTGCTTTTATTCAGTAAATATGTTGTTAGGATGCCTTAGTCTGTGCTGGTGAAGCCTTGGCTGACTGTCCCTCTTTGTTAATGTTGTTTATCTGCAAATTTCAGGTCATACGTTTGTCATAAGAGTAAGTATGACTGATTGGTGTTGTAATTGATTCAGTTGTGCAGAATTGGGAAAAATTCAAACTCAGTGCCCCCCAGTGGTAGTATTAAGAAATGACCCTGTGGTATATCTGCCAGCAGACCTGGGGACACTGACATATAAAAGGATTATTTTCTTTTTCTACAAAAAATGCTAATGATATATCAGAAAACAATTACTGTCAACAAAAACAACAAAAAATAAATAGTCACCTTTCTAGATCTGAGGTGGGGTCTAATCTTTATAGAACTGCCAGCTAGAACTAGAAATGTAAATTACAGCTGCATCTAATGATGATTCATTATCAATTTAGCTTTGTTTAGAACAGTATAACGTGTCAGAAAATTGTGAATAATACCATCACAATTTCCACAGAGCCCAAGGTGATCCCTTTCTCACCCAAATATATTCAGTTTAGTGACAGAAAAGCACAACACATGTGAAGAGGCAGAAACCAGCAAATGTTTGCCATTTCTTCCTGAAATCTGACCTGAATGATTACAGAAGTATGGTTGTCACAATAGTTTTTTATTTATTCATTTTTTTCTTTAAGCGTTTCAACTCTAATGCAATCGATAAAAATATCAATCTTTATTTGCACACACTTAACCAGTGTAGCAGTATCTAGCGGTGACATTGCAGATTGCAACCAACTCACCTCACCCTCTTCTCCCAGTCTAGTAGGAGAAACTATGGTAACCTTGAAACTCGTAAAAAATACAAAAGGCCTGATCTAGAGCCAGTGTTTGGTTTATCTGGCGGCGGTTAACATGGCGGCCTCTGTAGACGAGGACCTGCTACCTCTGTAGATAAAAATGTCTCATTCTAAGTTAACAAAAACACAAGGATTCTTATTTCCAGGTGATTATACACTAATGAAGTCATACCTATGAATATTATATTCCATTTATGCCAATAGATCCCTCTAAATGTTACACACTGGACCTTTTTAACAATGATCTAAAATGCCTCGCATGGAAGAAAAACAAGCAAAAGTCCTCAAAACAAGAAAGTGTGAAAGAGTAAAGATGTGTGTCGAAGCACAAAAGGTAACTTGAAAAGCCTTAAAACTCTTCATCATCCTTAGAACAGCCAACATGTGCCCAGCAGGGCCTCATCTGCTGATGCTGTAGGACTATTTGCCACTCGATGGGTTAACAGGTAACGTAATAAGCCTAGGCTCAGTCACAGGGATGTCGATGTCAAACTGTAGAAGTCATTCTTCGAGGAATGTAACGTATCCGACATGGACAAACTGTATCAATAGAGGAGCAGTGGAGTTCAGTCTCAAGGACACTGATGAATGCACTGTAGCATTAGATTAATCAAACTCTCTATGACAGAAGATGAATAATGGTGTTATATTACTGTAGTTTAATCACTGTTCGTCACAAGCTTCGCATACTTTCTGGCAGTTCTGCCAATGATAAAATGCTGCTGATGTAGAGGAACACACAGCTTACTCTAAAACCTGAATCTGACCAGAGGACGAGAGTTTCCTTTTGCTGTTGTCCACACAGTCCGTTTGCAGTAGAGCTGAGGTTTACTTTCAGCCATTATAATATTAACAACTCTCAGCTTTTAAACATGCTGATGTCTCTTTATTGATATACGCAAAGTCAGAAACAGAAACCCTTGGTTCTTGTTATAAATACTTGATTGGAAAACAAGTGTTGAATGTTGCAAACTATGTAGGTCATAACAAGTGACGAATCGCTGGATCTATTTATCTGGTTTCTTTGCGGAGATAACTCAGACAAGTAGGTGCTTTGACCCTGATCAGCAGGTCTTTCTCAAAGGTCAGACAGGCAAAAATCTTTCTGCGGGTTTTCAGAGGCTTGGGTGAATGTTTTTCATTGTGGGTAAGATGTAGAGTTGCAGAGGCTAGATGAAGATAATTGTCTTCTTTTCTTTTCACTATTCATATTTTTTATTATATTTTTGGAAATTCTCTTGAAACACTTGACAGTTTTAAACTTCTAGGGAACTACAAGTATATGTGATAGTGTCCAAACATTCAAATCAATTTATTAAAGACAAAGGCAGTTTTATTTATATAGCACGATTCATACACTTAATGCTATTTCAAAATGATTAACATGAACAACACTGATAAAACCTAAAGTTGCCAAAGTTTTAAATATGTGAAAACTATTTTAGGCTACTACAATGTGTCATCATTACACCATCCTTACTAGTTATGGCAAACACGATAATCAATTAAAGCTGGGTGCATCAAAATATCATCAAAAACAATATACAAAAAATATCTTGGAACAATACATACAAGAAATATGAATTATGGAAGTATTACAATAATAAAAAATAAGTGAAAAAGTAACGAATTAATAATAATAATAAAATACATACATTAATAACTGAGTAAATTAATAATAAAATGAAATTTATAGATACAATAAAAACAAATAGGGATGGAAAAAGTGGAAATTAAAAAAATAAACAAAATAATAAATAAAGTAAATAAATACAAATTCTAAAGGAAACAATAAAAAGTAAAAAGATTTGATTTTGGAATAGTGTTTCTTTTGTTCTTTCTCACAAAATACTAATGTGCGACACATTAATGTCCTCTTCTGTAAATATGACATCGATTATTTGACTCCACCAGCAGCTGATTGTGCTAGATATGAACAAAGAACACCATCTTTAAGAAAACTTAATTTACCATCCATCAGTGTGGCAAATCCCTACAGTGAACAGACATGTTTACAGTATTATATCGGATCAGGAGGGCAAACTCAATGTCAAAGCTAGTGAGCACGTGTTCCCAGACTATTTACAGCACGTAGCGTTGTTGTGAATGTCAATCAGTGTTGACTGGTGGCAGTGATGAAGGACTATCTGATCTAAAGCCGGAGGGTCATTCATTCTGTTGTCAGATCAACACAGGAGGAGGATCTATGGACCTGACGGATCGATTAACTGACAGGCAGACATTACAAGTTTTTAATTATTACTACAACCATCCATCAACTTAAGAATTTCATGTCAGTGTGAGTTCATGTGTGGGTATAAACTGTGAACGACACTATATATGTATATGTATATACACTATACAGCATACTGTGGACAGAATTAGCTATTAAACTAGAATATTTGTGTCTCATCAGTTACAAGTGCTAACCACTAGAGAGCACTTTGATGGTGCTGGGGGCCGTTGATCTGACTACAATATTTACAAGAAGAGGCATGTGTGTGTGTGCATCAGTTTGAAGTAATTCAGATGCAAATGAGCGTGTGCGTGTGTTGAGTCATAGTCTGCATTTATGTATTCATTATTTTGCCTTCAAAAAACAAGACTACGACAGTGGTGACTGTCATGACCTTGACAAGCTCTGGTTAATGTGAGACACTTGATGGGCAAATATTTGAAACTGACCCTGAGGTACTTTTGTCCTTTTTACATTAATCTGAACAATTCTAAGTGTCAAACCTTGAACCAAACATATATTGTCTGCTTTAAATAAATATAAAACCAAACCAGCTTCAGTTGTCATATTTCCCTGTGTATACGTCAAGGTCAGTTCATTACCTGCTTAAGTGACGTGGTCTGTGGTTTGCCTTTCAGATACTCATGACGCAGTTTTACGGTTCAACGCTGCACCTACAGAGGGATACGAGAGAGACGTGGGGAACAAAACCACTATTCGCATCATCAACTCGCAGGTGAGTGAGAGTCTGGCCTTTTACGATGCATAATGATGATTCATTAGTGGATTATGGAGAATTCAGGGAGCTGCGTGAAACACATGTAAGACATATAGAGTGGCACATGTTGAAAATATAAATTATTTATGACTTCAATTATTTCTTGACATGCAGTGAATGTTTTATTGATGGCTGGTTTGCATTTCATGATTGTTTTTTTATTTATTTCAGCTCAGCCATTTGTGAATAGGAATGATCAATAATACATTTGCTATTTCATTTGTTCATTCTGACTGTATAATGGGAATATGTTTTAGGATATACACTACCAGTCAAATGGACACCTTCTCATGGTTAATTGTTTTTCTTTTATGTTTCATAACCTGATTTACGATTGCTAGGATTTCTTCGCACTTGAAGGGCATCAAAACGTGATGACTGAAGCACATTCATGCGAATTTAGCTCGTAGGTAGACAAAAAGTGTGAAGAGTAAATAGGGGATTGCCTCAAAGTTTGGCGTGAGCCACCCTTGGTGCTTGTTGACAGCCGCTGCAGAACCCTTGGGCCTGTCGTGCCAATGACTTCAGATGTAGCTCACTCTGAAAGTGGGTTTCTCACTGTCACTGGGGTGTGCCTTGGTCGAGGGTTCGGTTGTGGCCAGATGTTCTTGCGGCTTGCTTGAATGGGGGGCGGCTCTCTGTGTGTTTTGCTGGACACATCCACGTTAGTGGTCAAGGTGAGCACAGCTGGGGGATTCAGCGCCTATATAATTGGCTGGAAATTAGTCGTGCCTTCCCTGAACCTGAGCGGTTCCTTGAAGCAATGGGGTGAATTAGGGTGTATTAGGAGTCTTAAAGCTTGGAAACTTGCGTTCGGTTGGCAAAGCTCAATGTTAATAAACAAATGCTGTAGATGTCCTGGCCGTACGATGTAATAATACCAGGTGTAAAAATCGAAACAGTTGACCATCCTGTTAATATTTAATGGAACTGAAGGTCAGTCAGTCCGGGAAAAATTTGGCAAAACTGGTAACCTGTCGACATACAAAGCTGACGACTGATGCGATAGTGTGTAGATGTTTGATTGTGAGTGGAAACAGCTTAAAGGGTCGGTGAATTGTAATTTCTTTTATTAAAGTTATTGTTTTTTATACTTGAATGTGCTCCCCAACGGTGCAGGCGCAAAACCATCAAGCCCGCTACGGACAAAACTGGGGCTCACCGACGGGACGGCCCCCTGCAAAGCGGAAAGGACCAAGGGAGCATCACCCCTGCTGGCCCTGGGAGATATCCAGTTCATCCGAGCTCACCAGCCTGTCAGAAATCGGCCAAGTTAACACCAGCCTCAGATTAGAGGGCGCCCAGATGGAATGCCACACAGGGACGTTCTTAGTAGCAGAGCACATCTACTACAGTCAGAACTGGGGGCCTCAGGGAGGCGAATTCAGCCTTTATTGTCAGGAAGTAGCGTGTATGCTTAATAAATCCTACCAGACGACATAGAGGGAAACAGGAACGGAACGCCCAGAATGAGGATTTTCGTTTTCTGGGGCGTCCCAATAAAATAAGAAGATCGCATTGTTGTCTAGAAGATAAGAATGGGATGGCAAAAATCCGTGAGAGTTGAAAAACCAAGGATTTTGAGAAAGTCTGTTGCTTGTGTTCGAGGGTTAACTTGGATTTGGTAGGTCGGGTCCCAAATGGTCTGACCGATCTTTGTGGACCCCGCCCGCGTGGTCTGTTATCTGCTCCGTGGGACGTCTATGGAAAAGGGTGAACGG